ATAGCACACCAACCGAAGGATGCGAAGGCAAACGATTCCAGAAATCTGGATTCCGCTGGTGCCCAAACCGCTCAAAAAATCGTTCATATTTTGGGATGATGAGGCATGGAGAGACCATTTTACATGCAGTGTCTTCGTGCTTCGATCCAGTTCCAGCACAGTCGTGCAATGGAAAACCACCGTTAGTTTGCAAAGCCTCAAGTCCACCAAGTCAAACGAAGGCTGTGGGAGGCAATGATACCCTTTTTCGGCTCATAGAGATCTTTTAAGTTCCACCGATGCCCACCCTTTCGATCAGTGTCCCCCCACGTCGACGCTACGGAGACCCACGCGAAAGAGAGAGCTTCCCGCTGTGCTGCTTCAGAAGGTTCCAGCACAGCAACTCAGGGGCCGCCCAGCCCGACTCGCCCGGCGGAAGGAGGGGGTTCCGGGCTCCCCCCAGATGGGCTGTCGGCGGTGTGAAGCAGCGGCAACTGAGGTTGGGAGATTGGGAAGGTGGCGGATTTTCTCCCTCACCCCTGTTGGATTTGGGAGAGGCGGGCGGCTTTTGCAAACGAACCACTCGAACTTCCCCAAGCAATCCAACTCATCCTACTCTAGCAGAATAAGTAGTATGTGCATGCCATCATCCATCCATGTTGAATTTGTTGCCCTCCGACTCATTAACATGGAAGTGGAACCCCCCTCTGTTTGTAGAGGACAGTCGTCAGCTGTCTTCCAGTGGCCATTTTCCCCTTCCATGTGTCGGAGGCCAATCGAAACAAGGTCTGCCCAGGCAGATGATGACCTGAAAGACCACCCAATCCTCAAGCCGAGCGAAGGTGTCCCAAACCAAGCATTGCCCAGTCCGCAGTTTGCAACTGCCTGCTCCTTCGCTTGCAACCAGTTCTTACAGGACCCTCCAACGTGATCCAACGTGCACGTATTTGGACCGTGGCGGTTTTGGGGTACCTTTGAGCACTGGAAGCACTTGTTGGGACCGACCTAGGGCCAGACAGACTCATGAGGGTCGAATTGATCGTTCCATGTGCCTTTCTTCCCCGCCTCGACCGATTCAGAGGGCCCCAGTCTCTCCAAATTCGTTTCAGGAATCCGTTCGATCCGAGCTCGGGGCGATCTGTCCTGGAGCCACCTGCGACGGGCGACGGCCTTATTTGGACTAATGTGACACCCGTGCTCCGGGCGAGCATGCGCCCAGCGGTTCGTCACAGAAACTGTTCAAGCCGGCAGGCTGGTTCATGCACCCCAGGGATCCAGTCGTAGCTTCTCAGGTATGACTGGATTTGTTAGGGGCAGATACTTGGAATTGTTTGCACCCCTCGGGATGCATTCCGAAGGTTTTTTTTAGGATTTGGTCGCAGAAGTATGCAGAAGTATAGAGGCTGAGTGCCACCTGGCTTTACAAGTCCGCTAAGGGGAAACAGAAGACGCTCAAGGAAGCAAGGGCACTGAGGGATTTGTGGTTGACAGGTTTTTGCCAAGCTTGTTCTGCCCCAAGCGTGTAGAGCACAAGATCATACACCTGGAAGTCAAGTAAAACCAACCCCAGATTATCCATCGGTTCGTGTAGCTGTTGCGCAAGCGGTATATCTATGTGAACCTAAGAATCCGGGCCCTCCATGGCAGCGGTCGGACCCTCCATAGCAGGGGTCCGGACCCGAACCAAACCCTTCTCATTGGTGCGGGCCTGGATTATTAAGGGATTATGTTGGTTCTAATTGGTTCTATTTTATTGTATAGTCCATGTTCTCAGGCTTTTGGCTTGTTCCAACGGCCGCGCATGAGTTAAATGACATGTCGAGTCCGTGTTCAGGTCCACTCACCAATGGCGTCCTCCCAAGTGCGTGCGCTCCTCATGGATCATGGCGTGCCAGTGTCCAGTGTCCGATTTTATACAGATGGAGGGACCGGTGAGCAATGGTGAGCAGAACTGACTCCAATGACGGTTCGTTGTTCGTTGTTCGTTTTTTTTCTGAAGGGACGAAACGCACAAAAGGAGCTTCTCTTGTGTTCTCAGTGGGCACAGGCCGTTGTTTGTGTTTCATGTGTGTCCGAAAAAATGCTTCTCCAACTGAACCATGTGCGTTCGATCAAGTTATGACAGGCCTCCACTTCCTATTTCCACGGGCCCCTCGCTTAGTGACACCCCTGTGCCCGCCGCACCGGATCTAAAAACCTGCGAGCGGCCGCTGGGTGTGGAGGGTGTGCAGGTCTGGAGGTCCCCCCCCGTGACATCGGGGTGTCTACTCGAGGTGAATCCAGGCACGGGGGCTTTGGTACGGAGGGGTTTTCAAGGAATTTTCTTTGGAAGGTGATACGTTCGACATTTTGATGTAGGCGAGTTGTGAGGGTCCAGTCGTCTTCTGAGAAGGTGGCAGTGGATCTACAGTGAGTCAGTCGTACCTTTGAGAAAGCCCAGGTCAGAGCTGCCAATTGCAAGTTCTCCTCTTTCTTTGGGTGAAGACAGTGCAACTGGCAACCTGAGCAAGTCCCATACTGTATGTCCTGTCAAACATCGGATTTCGCAAAAGACATTAGGCCCCCAAATCGGCCCCCATGCCCCCCACGATGCAAATCATCACTGGGTTGGGAAGACCCAATACTCGGTTTTCGGATTGGCTTTAACCAACCTCTATCAGTACACTTTGGGGCCAACGCCTTCACTTCGTTCACTTCGCTCCAGCTCCACAGTCACCTCACGGCCTGGGGTGTTCTGAGAACTCAACCACCGCAGCAAAGGAAGATCCCAGTGGGTGTGGGTTGCGCAACGAGCACCGCCCCGCTGTACAGCCATGGTGACAGCCGCCCCCACGCTGATGGAATCTCTCAAGCATTCGTCCACGGCAAAGACCGCGACTTGGAAGGGATGAAGAGGGCCATGTAATATCATGTAATTAACATAGACAACTTTCCCTTTGAATCTTTAAAGTTTGGTCGTGTTTGACTACTTCAATGGGACCCGACCACAGTGGTGTCTATGGGTCATTCCTGGATCTTCGAAACGGCACAAATAATTGCCTTTTCAGGAAAAAATGCCGTTACGGCGTCTTTTTCCAAAGACGGCGTTTTTTGTTGTGACGAGGCGCACGCCGGCAGAAAGCAAAAAGAAACGGCGTCTTTAAGCGTCCAAACGGCGTCTTTGGGCGTCCAAACGGCGTCTTTCCCCGTCCATGGATTTTGTACAACCCATAAAACGGCTTTTTTTTGATTACGGCGTCTTTTCACTAAAAAATGCCTCCGGCAAAAATTTGTGCCGTTTGAAGATCCAGGTTTGGCTCAAAAGTGCCTTGCAAATCCAACTTCTGAGCAAGAAGCCATACCCACAGTACCCACAGCTTATGATCCAGAAATGGATGATCTATGGATGATCTATACAAGTCTATACATATAAAATTACAGTATATATATATATATTTGTATATCTATATACATATAACATTATACATTATACATACATGATTTATGTTTGGTTGTTGGACCCAACCATACTCAGTGAACTCTTTGTTGGCTTGGGGTGAGGAATGGGACCTGCGAGATGGACCTTTTGAAAGACCGTCAAAGACAAGCATGGCTGAAGATAAGACCGGCAAAGTACTTGAGAGGATATATTCCTACTATAGGACTCCTGGCCCACACCTTCTGAAGGCAAACCAAGCGGTTGGACCCCCGCTGGCAACCACCCCAACCTTCTCAGGTTGGGGCGGGTGTCTCAGGAGTTAGTTGGAGCCCTAGTAGGGTCTATATACATGAACCTGTGTGACCCCTATGTTTAACCAAAATTATACATTGTTCCTCTGAACATCAACGGGGGTCATGCCTGAATTCTGCTGTAGGTGCGTATGCATATCTCATATCTCTAATATAATATCCCTGGAGCACGTTGTTCGGCACTTCCAAAACACAGCTCGGAGCTACCACTTTCGACGATCCCAAGAAGACTGCAGCAAGCTGAGACCGGACTTGGAAAGGGTTCCATGTCGATTGGGACATCGGCGGACATGGTTGGTCCAAAGAATATACCTGGCTGAGGGGAGACCACATGGTGCCTGGGTTGAAAACAATGGTTCAGGGCGCCATTCTCAGGGTGCGATGTGAGTTTTCGGGAGTGTAGTGGTAGACCTCAGTGATAGATTCATGACCCACCCCCCCACATATAAAACCGCAATTTGGAAGGTAAAACCCTCTTCAGATAGTGGTTGAAAATGAATCAGCAGTTCGGTGAGATGGCTGTGGGTCATGGCACCTTGAGCTCGCCCCCGAAGTCACGAAATACCGAGAAAAACCGTGGTGCACCCAGTTGTTTCATGGTTGTTCTGGTGCCATGAGCCAGATGGGTGAGTATTCAACTGGAATGATTTCTTAGGTCGGCAGAGAAATAGATGTGTCAACCCAGCTGGCAGGATGTTTGATCTCGAAAGAAAACAGCTCTATCTAGAGCTGCGAGCTGGAATCAAGCCTTCCCATCTCAGGAGTTCATGTGTGCAAGCACCACGGAGGGCACGACACGAGTGGTCTCCAGTGACGGATGCTTGGACTTGTTTCCACAGTGATGAAGTGGTGTTGTTCTACGAGATTGTGGGGGGAATTCCATGGAATTCCTCATCAGGGCCAGCTGGGGTACAGGTGGATGGAACCCAGATTGTAGAGGTGTTAATTCTTGAATTTGATAGTGCTGGGGCAAAATGCCCAACCTGGGGCAAAATGCCCAACCATCCCAATCTCAGAATCTGGTCAGGGGATTCCAAATCGAGGGACGTGGAATCCTAGAAGCGTGGCAACCCTAGAGCATCCAAGAAGCGTTTACAATCGAACGTAGACACCAGATGCACAAGCATTTGGTGAAAAAAAACATATGGGGACATGGCCATGGCTCAAAAATCGGATGCCCTCAAAAACCCACTCAGACAACCGAGTCCCCGGGTCTTTTCTTCTTGGGCTGCGAGCACGGAGAGTTGTTGTTGGTCGTTGAAGGTGACATCTCCCCGAACCTTGTCTCGTGGATGCGGCAGCGGACACACAAATACAGCCTCCCGGTGGGAAGGGTGATCCCCAGCCCGGAGCTGGCTGCAGGATGGCTGCAAGGAATACTACGGTAGATCATGGGAAAGTGAAGGGGGTTACCATATATTTGTATGTTATATTTACATTACACACAGACACATCATAATATGTCAGTTCCTCTTGCATTACTCCATACTCTGTGCAAGCTAAGTGTTGGTGGTTGTACCCAAGCGCGCTCAGCATGTCGGGCATGTTGCTGGAGAGCATACTGTTGAGGATCCCCTGTGCGTTACCTTGCAAAGGATCCCCTGGACGTTGATCCGGCGGGACCCGTGCAATTGAAACACCTTCTTTCATGCTGATTGGTGTGCTTAGCCTGCGTCAGTCATTTTATGTCACCGGCCACCGGCCACAGCGATGAATCGACTATCGCCGGGTGGGTGCTACTAGGTTTGCTAAACTTTGACTATTGGCTTGGATAGAGAAACCCTGGTATATGAAACCACTCTTGGACGCTTTTTACCATCGATGCCAAGATGATCGACCTTATCCAGACACGCCATGTATTCATATCCCTACATTGGCTCCTGAAACTACCCCAATGTATGCGAAGATGCCAGTCTCATGGAGTGTTTGGGCTACAGATCCTGAAAAAAGCAAAGTGACCAAGGCCAGAAAGGGCTGATTCCAGTGCGTTCAGACGACATCGCCGCGCCTTTGGATGGTGTAATCGATGGACCTTAGGAAGGGGTACAGGGCTTCGGAAGTGTTGCCGTCACCTGGAGCTCCTATGGCTTGTTGTCTCAGGACACAAATATGGGACGAAGCAACACATTTGTAGGGTATTTGGGGGCGCTTGGTCCTTTTTAATGAGTGGGTGACAGGATGGTATGATGGCTGATGTTTGCCATGGCTAGGCGCACTTTCCGAGAAGGTGGATAAGGATCTGAACCAGACGGATGGCAGATCCTGGCAAAAAGCCTCATATAAAATGGGATTTATTCAGGTCACCAGTTTTACCGTGGCCTTGGAGAAGATGATTTGTTCAAAAACAGTGGGTGCAACACAAAGTGGGTTCGGTGGGGGTCAGAAGACCCTGCAGAGAACCTTTGCATGCGGATCCGGGGAACTTTTGGGGACCGCGAGAGCTTGGGGAGGCCAATGCCTCGAGCTCCTGAAACAACATGCTTGTGGCAATTACCCCCTGGCTGCCAGAAGTGCTATGCCTATTACCTATGACATGCTATGACGGTGCAATGATTTCTGTGGAATCAAAGAAGGCTTAATTAGGGTTCTATGGGTTCAAGTGACATGTTCCTTTGGCACTGGGATTTTGTGAAGCTATCGGCTATAGGCTATAGATGATTTACCCAAAGCCAAGTAACAAGGAACTTGACGTTCAAAACAGCACTGTAGGTGCCGCTGAGCTACCACCCAAAATGTACAACACCCTTAACAACAATTCTCACAACAATCTATTCAACAATCACCATGTGTTTTCCTTTTCCCCACCCTCCAACTCCTTGGCCGCCATTTCCCAAGTGATCCCGGTCACAGCTGAGCGGCACTGGTGCTGGCGCAGCCTCAGCTGGCACCCATGGTGCATCGTGGCCGTCCCAGGACCACTACGAGTTGGATGAGCGGCGCATTGGCAGTGGCTCCTTTGGGCACGTCTTCAGCGTGCCTGGGACGGGCGTTGGATGGCGTTCACGGCGCAAAACGAAGAGATGGAAGTGGTCATTAGCCATGACCCCGAAAGGAACACGCCATGCAATCCGAAGACCAAACAGGGGGTGATCTCTACGAGGCCAGGGAGAGTTAACTGTTGCTCAGCATGAACTGTTATTTCTTCCATAGGATTGGTGGTGAGAGGTTGGGAAGAGGAAGTCCAGCAGAGTCCATGTCGTGCCGTGGTTCGAGTCGCTTCGAGGAGCTGCTTTGGTCGCTTCCGTCGCTTTTGCTCCGAAAAGCACTCTTGGTGTGGTCAGACTCTTGCAGACGTAGTTAAAAGACCATCCATCTATATGGAAGATGATACGTTCTTACAGTCTTACATTATAGAGTAGAGTATAGTAATTATAGCCTAGCCCATTACCAGTAACAGTCGGTAAAGTATTATCACTTTTTGAGAATGGCCATTACTAATTATCAACCATCATCATCCACTGTTACCGGTAATGGGATATAGAGTCAGACGTGGGGTTGTGTTATTATATATATATACCCTAGAAGTCCAAAGACTATATTTTGACTGGCTGAAGTAAAGGAAGTTCCCTTTCAGGTCCCTTAAAGACCATTCTTTTTATAGTCTTTGACTCCCAGGGTATTATATATATATATATAAAACTATTCCAATATACATGGATGGTCTCGGGATCTTCAAGTAAGATGATGGTCCACATCCCATTAGGCCCTTTCTACGCCCAGCAGCCCGGCGGCGTTCCGTCTCAGGCTCGACAGAAGCAAACAGGACTCCAGGCCAGGGACCATGACATGCGGCTAATAGCTAATAATTATGCTGGCATCCCTTTAGGCATTCGTGTCCAGCTCGCTTCACTTGGCAAAGTGCAAGGTTAGTTTGGAATTCTTGCTTCCTTCCTATCATTTCCTATCAACTATCAGGACTCCCATGTGTTTTGGTCCCGCGATGCTCCGAGTAAACTTCCACCTCAGATCATGGCATTTCATTGGCAGCTCGTGGCATTTCTCCTTAACATCCAGGTCGCCAGGCCCATTCCTCCACGTCAGGTTGCCATCAAGAAAGTCTTAATCTTCGACCCCGAGCAGAAGGAACGCCTCGACACGGAGGCCTGTATCATGAAGGACCGCCGAGTGTCCGAGTTCAGCGACACACGGTGTCGGGCGCCTTCGCAGCGGGCGCCATCGCGGCGTGGGCGGCGACGGGGTCCGCATCCGGCAGCCCGCAGCCACCGGCGAGTGCGTGAGAGAGAGTGCCAAGCCGCCCGGTGCGTGAGGATTTGGACCATCCAAACATCTGCAAGTTGATGGCCACCTATGAGAAGGGCAGCATCTCGGATGATCCATTCTTGGGGGCAAAGCCAAATCCGGGGCAATGACATGCGATGTGCAACGAGCCCAGCCTGGCTGAGGTCAAGAGGTAACAACTTACTTTTTGGATGCCCAGTAGTTGGTGTTCTTTGGAGTCTTTTGTCAACCTCCACTAAACCATAAATCCGCGCCCGCGAACGCACATCGCTTTCGGGTGCGAATGCCACGAAACGTCGCGTGCTTGAGCGACATGTGGTGTTTTTCTGAGTCGATCTAAGTCGCCCGCTTTGGCCAAAAGATGGGGCCAGGTCAACGACCGAAGCTAGTCGACAACGTGAGGCTCAAAGCCGCTCGAAAAGGCAAGGCCTTCTGGACATGGACTGCGAGAAGCACGGAAGTTTCCATGTGAAGAGTTGGAGAATCCAATTGACAATGGTGGCCAAATAGATAATTAATAGGATATGATAGGAAAAAATCCAGCGCCACGCAATTCGGGTGGTTGATAGACCTCCCTGACTAATATATGCCGTCCAATCGCCATTTCAAGTTTGAACCCTGACTCAGATTTGCGTCGTTGAACTTGCTGTGTCATTCGTTTTGGTCAAGGTCCAAGTGAAGCGTTCTCGCGCGGTCTTTCGAGTGAAGATAAGTCGCATCCCACCCGAGCAGATGACCGAGGATTCATGTTCTTCGTGATGGAGTATTGCAAAGGGAAGGCCGGCCGGCCCGAGATGAGAGTGCAACTCCGAAAACCACCATTAAACGGCGACTCTGATAGACCTCCGACGGCGGTTGATGTCTTCCCAAGTTGGGGGCTCGAGACGTGGCCCGGGCCACCGTCGACTGGGCGACCGTCGACTGGTACGCCCCGCGGGTAACACCAGGGCACGGAGAAGGCACAAACGGTAAACATCCGAAAACCCACCAGGTGCGAAACCAACGGGTCACCTGGCTGGACGGGCCCCGGCCTAGGTCTCCAGGCCCAGGGCAGACAGGAAGTGCCAACATCCGACGGGTCACCTGGCGGTGAGAAGTTGCTGCAAGACCCCCGAGCGGGGGAGGGCTCTCTCAATCCTTAACAAAGCCACGCGAATTTGAGGGGCTCAGGAGCAGAGTTGGCTTAGCCATATCATCGGTGCATCAATCACCTATCTCAGAATTGTGTGAGGAAACATTTGCAGGCAACCCACAGTTTGGGGTGTGAAAATCCGTGGTTTCCTGTGGATGTTTCTCTTTAACCAACCCATTTAACCTGAAGATCAGTAGAAATTTGGTGAGTCAGATCCACCAATCACGTTCAATTGGCGATGAAGTCATGGGAAGTCATTCTGGCATTTGATTGAAATGCAACGATCCTTGCCCAATCTTCTGCAGAGTTCTTTGGGACTCGGGTGTTTTGTTTTCACGTGGACACGGCAGGGCTGTAGCACTCATGGCCACTCCCTGATGCATTTGTCCTTGCCGACTCGGATGACCCTCAACTCCGAAAACCAGGAAGCTGCTTCGATTGAGTCAAGTCCCTCGAGTCGAGTCCCTTTGGAGTCCTCGACCCGCCACCGATTCCGCGCGCCGATTCTGCCGACGGCCAGGACGTTTTGGAGCGTTTGATGTCTTTGGACGAGCAGAAGTTTGGCCACTGAGACTTGGGGAATGCCCGGAGGGGCTGGGAACTCGGTGATACTCGATGGACCGGTACTACCGCGCAGATCTTCTGCCGCTGGAGGAGGTCAGTTGGTGTTTTCTTGCTTTTTTTTGACAAGTTTTAGAGTAGGAAACCCTTGCATTCCGTCAACAAACACGGGCTCTTCAATCCACTCGGCCAACTTCAATCGAACTGTATGCCGCAACAGAGGCCACCCACACGCGGAAGCATTTCTCGCTGGAAGCATGTTCCGATCATACGCGATGTCCAGGAGAGTGAGTAGTCCTTTTCAATCTCCAGGACTGTTTGAATATGGAGACTTCACGTACGCCCATTCCCCGTCTATGAATCGGCCACCACCGTCCACCCTCCAGGAGTTCGCTGCCCCGAACAGACTAACGCCACAGCCTCAGCTGACCGCTGAGGCGAACACCAAGCCGCGAAGATTGTGCACCAGACGGCGCTGGCGCTCCATTACGCACAGAAGCGCGGCATCGCACACCGAGCGCCTCGGACAGGCTCAGGATGACGGTTCGGGGGGGGTGAAACGGGGGTGAAACCCGGATGGGCGTGGAGGGGGAGGCGATAGGCAAGAATGAAAAGGAGCGGAACTCAAAGGGATGGGACATTCCACTCAGAGTGCATAGATATGCTGGATGTATTTGCAAGATGTTGCAAGCATATCAACGTGCCAATTCTTTACAATAGCCGCATAGCCTATTGCGTACCTTTTTTTCCCGGGTGACATCCGGGCTTGTCAGTTCACTGTCGACAGGACTAGCCGGTTGGGGTGCTACAATTCATTGGAAAGGACAAGAGTCACCAGTGAAGTGGAACTTTGAGGATAAGTAAGCAACTGGCCTGTACTAGTTTCGTGGTTTTACATGGTTTAACATGCAGTTCTGACCATTGAGTGCCATCAAGTTGTCAAATAATCTAAATCAAATAAAGTGGGAACCTCCGGTTTTCATTGAGTTTGCAGAACCCATTTGCATTGCTACAGTGGATGAGAATAGTTTGTCCCTCTTGGGGTGGTCAGGAGGGCCCTTGAGGTCTTTAAAGCTTTTCTAAGAGGTTTTTAAAGGCTGAACTCCCAGGTGTCCAAGTCACTGATTCCGGAATGGAAGCAAGGACACCTACACAATGGTCCGTCAAGAGAACCATCAGGCAACCGCTGCTACAGTTGACCAGCTAAGGTGTGACCAATGAACTATTCATGCGCTTTCATTAACCCCTTGTATGCTCTAGGTTCAAAAGAGGTTGATTTGGTTTTGGAGATGGCCCTCAGGACGTCAAGCCGGAGAATTTGGTGTTTGTCTCTGATGAGGAGTCCGATTCCTTTGTCAAGGCCGCTCTCCACTCCAGCATGAGCCGGAGAGGAACCCCCCTGCTTAGGCGATAAGGTGCCGAACCGATCCCCACTTCAGCTCTATACTAGGAGTCTGGGTTGATAGAGATGAAGTGCCCCTGAAGGTCTCATGGCCTAGTTGGTGGGTGCTTGGCATGAAGTCTTTGGGGATGTTAGTGCCTCAATTTGAGGGACAATCAGGGCCAAAAAAGGACCCCATGCACAGCTCAATAGGCTTCAAGCCTGGCCCTGGGCAGACTGCTTAAAGAGACCCTTGTAGACTTAGACCTCGTGTGCTCCAGGGCGCCTTTCTTTTCCATGGAAGGCATCAAGTTTGGGTGGATTTGATATTCTTTGCTTGCTGTCAAGAGTTCGGTTTATCCCGACACCTTTCTTTCTGGGACACCTGGTCTTCTCACTGGTGAGTTAAAATTCACGAGACGCTGTCCCTTTCCATTGGTCTTTCAGGTCACCTTCTCACCAGATTTCTCGAATGTGGGGAAGTTCCTACGAAACAAGGTTTTGGATACGGGCGTCGCTGGGAGTGGTTTGTGAATTGTGTCGGGGACCAACTGCATCCAGTCCAACATGGTCCAACTAGCTTCGACAGGACGTAGTGCCCTGAAGGGCACTCCACCGCGGGTGAAACCCCAACGCAAAAGCACATTGTTGGTACACTCTGACGAACTCAACCGCAAAACGGCTGGTGACCCTCTGAACTAACATGGGAAGTGAAAAATGACGAAAAATGTGTCCCTTGGAAGACGACTTTCCTTTACAAACAGAGGGGGTGCCATCCACTTCCATGTGACGTGTTCGTCGGAAAAAAAAGCGCTGCCGAAACCGCTGAAGCGGTGCAGGTGGTCGACTGGGGCCTAAGCTCCTACTGTGGAGAACGCAAGATGAGGCCAGAGCCAGCGGGCGACATTGACCTCAGATTCTGAAAATGCACCATTTTTTTCGATTCTGAAAAGGCATTCTGAAAACACTCATAGATCTTTTGTCAACCAAACATTACCAAAGCAGTGGGGTCATGGATTTGCTATGCGAATCTACTCTGCGTTTGCTTCATTATTGACTCAACGACGTGCACTCAGCGGCCCCTCAATGGCCTTGAACTCCACACGAGCGCAACAGGGCACGGATGGAGCGTGGGAAGTGGGTTCTCCCGAGCGAACGTAGACTGTTGATTCCCAACCCCACTGGAGTCCTGAGAGGTTTCACAGGGGGATTGATTGATCATGTATAAAAAGTCTATATATAGACACCATTAAACACCCATAGATAGAAAAGTAGATCCCCACTAGAAATGTATTGCAAGTTTTGTACCCCAGTTTGACCAGGTCAGCGGTGGGCTCCTACGTCTACTGTGCCCCTGAGATCCTCGCGAAGAAGCTGTTGCTTGACACGGTTTCCTTCAGTTGGGGTTTTCGACATAGGAAAGCATTTAAACCAGAAATGCTTGGAACATGAACCCTGATGACCTGATGTTGTTTGCTAACTTCAGTTCCAGGCCTGATTGCACAAGTTGAATTAATGCACATGCGTTCGCAGGTGATGGGAGTAAATCGATGTTGCTTCTGACGACCCGGCGGGTGTTCGTCAGCCCGGCCACCGGCCGCCCCGGCCGGAACTCTAGGGCTCTAGGGAATTCCCCGCCCCCTTCCAGGGCTAGCCGCTCAACCAGCCGGGCCGAACTTCTTGAGGTCTAGAAATTCCAAGAGCTACACAGCATCCTGCGACCTGTGTCTGGGCGTGTTTTGTTTGGGGCAGACTTTGGAACCAGCTTCTGAATGGAGGATGAGCTGCTATTTACAAGTTGACCAGGTGTGTTGACGGAGTTGTTTGGGCTATTCTGGGATCTTCGTCCTCCTCCATGTTGGTTGCCTCCTCCTCCGTGTCGATAAAGAAGAAAGATTGACGCCCGCCCATGCGACCCCGCTCTGAATCAATGTTAAACTCCCAGACACGACCTGTTTGGGACTGCCATATTTGGCCTTCAAAAAGGCCAGGGGTGGTTGATTTCAGGGGTGAAAGGGGTGGTGTGTTTGGGACTGTAACTCGCCGAATGTTTGTGAAGGCAAGTGGCGAAGGGTCGCGAAGCCTGGGAAGCGTAGGCTTTGGATTTCACACACGCGAAGCCAATCCGCGAAGCCTTTGGTGTCGCCCGAAGTGTCGCGAAGCCACCCTTACCACAATGCGAAACCCTCAGAGTAGGCTATTTAACAGTGAAGTGTGTATAGGCACTTTACCATCTTTACCGTATTACTTTAAATAACATGGCTCATGTGACAGGGAACCGCCTCAATTTGCCCCCCAACAACACAAATCACCTGACCCAAATCCGGATTCTGCTGATCTTAGTAGAACCTTTTCCTCATACTTTTCTTCCGACCCCATGAGCCCAGCGCACAGCTTGGGCCTCTGCCCAGTCCTCGAGCCCAGCAGACTCCGCTCCAGGTGGAGTCTGGGGATCCTCATCTACGTCCTGCTCTGCGGGCACCCGCCCTTCCGCGGCGATGCCACGCAGCTTCTCAAGATGGCCAAGGAGGCCAGGGCCGGTGTGCACCGGACACGGCTACGCGGATGACCGGCACCGGCAACGACGCAGTCGCTCTGGCTGTGGGAAAGTAGATCAGAACGTGGAGAGGGCTAGAGAGGTCCGGTGAGTCGACCTGGCTTTTTGCCTGTCTGTAGCTTCTTGATGACCCCTTTTCTGTTTTGTACATGCTTGTTTCATGTAAAAACCTGTAAGTCACTGGTAGTGGAGCTGCCAGAAGAACCTTGACTAGAAGTACGTTGTGCATAGTATTGAGCATGAAACAATAAATTCATTGGTGGTGCGTCCAGCGTACTTTCACCAGGCAGGTGATCAGTTCTTTCTTTGATGTTGCATGTGGCTTTTGCTATGCTGGCACTTGACTCCATTCCACGGCTGAGGGCGAGGGAGCAGATCCAATACTAGGAATTATAATACATACATATATATATATATAGAAATATGTGAGTTATATTTACCTAGATTGGGGTGCTTTGAGCGGTCAATGTGGCTAATGGATGCTAATCTATAATGGTATGGATTCCACCCATGGATAGTTTCTGGGGGATGCTTTTACTAGCTGGTGCGTACTCCTCCAATCCTTCCAAAGCCTAGACTAGACCGGTCAAAAACAGTCGCCCATTCGTGACTCCCCAAGAGAGACCCTGTCCACTTTAGTCGTCGCGGGCGACAAGCTCGCCACGTCTTGGCCAAGGAGAAGCTCATCCCTCAGGACGACATTTGGAAAGCCTTGTCGAGGGAAGCGAAGCATCTCATCCAAGGCACGCCGAGCGAGCGGACGGCGGAGCGAGCGAATTGCGCGTGGAGAGATATATGCGCGCTGCGGAGAGTTCCGCGCCGGAGAGTTGGCAGGAGTGGGCCGATTTCGGCGCGAGTCATTGGTGGGTAGCAGGTTTGCACTTGGGATTGGATGTGATTACAGACTGATTCCCTGGTTCTTCAAAGTGACCGAACTTGATAACCTGGTTGGTGAGGTCACTTAACTAAGCCTCCTATACGGGTCACTTAGGAACCTTCAAAAGGTCACGTATTGAAGAAGCTGGTCCTTTAAAATCAAGCAACCAAAAATACGCACGACACACCTGTTGGACCATGGACACCACCAAGCTCCCCAACCGGCCAACTGGATCTCAACGCATCGACAGGTCTCCTCAGAGTGAAGCCAGAGAAGCGATTGAAGTTCGAAGAGGCGGCGGAAGTCGTCGCGCTCGGCCGACGTCCCGGTGTTTCTGGCCACAAAAAAATGCCAGAACCCAGACACGACCTGTTTGGGACTGGCCTTCAAAAAGTCCAGTGGTGGTTGATTTCAGGGGTGAATGGGGGGGTACAAGTGGTTGACATTATATGCCAATCTCCTGGAGTGTTTGGGGTAGTGACAATTGCAAAGGGCTGATATGTATATAATTTGTTTTTTTCCTCTACCTGGACCCTCCAACAGGTGTTTCCTGGTGACAATAGGTGTCCAGAAACCACCTGTTAGGTTTCAAAAACCCGCCTGTTGGAAGGTCCTGGTATACCTATGTCGATATCCCATTTCAACCACCCCTGGCCTGATCGGTCTTTAATCGGCGTGGAATGGAGGCAAGTGACCTGAAGTTCCGATTCCATCACTACCCACATCGTTTGTGCAGTTCCACTTGCTTCGAATTCTCGCTTCGCCCACATCGTTGGTGTCACGCCGGTTGCGCCACGGCACAGGTCCTGAAGCATCCATGGTTTCAGCTGCAGAAGCTCGGCAGAACTCAATGGACTTTCCGGGACAGCAGCGAGTGGTTTTTTGCTTGAATGGTTGCAGCATTGTTGCGGCGTAGACGACCAAATTCCGGGTGTTGTTACAGGTCTTGCAAGGGCTAGGGAATAGACTGTGTTGGGGAAAGGAACTGGGTCAAGCAAAGGCCTGCAGAGCACCTAAAGTGGTTCAGTTAAGGGGTTTGGGGCCAAACAGAAGACAATTGGTGAATGAAAAGACAGAGGTGAGGTACTTTCACCGGGACTCAAGTGCCGGGTCAGACTCATGTGAAAGGTTACCCACCTTGGTGACCAGGGCTTGCTGCGGTCCAAGCCGTCATGTCTAGATTTGGACCGTGGGGTTGGGTACCGCGTTCCTGGGTTTTCTTGCATGCATATATGGGTGTGTCCGAACTTACCTGTAACAGCCAGTCAACAAGAACATCACTATTTTTGAACAAGGCCTGCAACTGAACCATCATCATCCACTGTTACTGGTCATGGGATAGTCGGATAGACCCAATATATTAATATATTCATATGAATTGACAGTGGGTCAAGTTTCCCGTACTGGTGAATGAGTCTGTAAAAATAACAATCACAGACCATTACCCTATGCTGGGGCCTCCCAAAGATTTCAGCTTCCACCAATTTGAGTTCCCCAAATGGACGGAGTGACACACCTTGCTTGGAGAGCTGAAGTGCCTGTAACTTGTTTATTCAGATTGCACGTTTGATCGCATAGAACCTCAGAATTTACATGCCAGGAGATCCTGCTCGGTAAGGTTGGCGAACCAAACATGTGAAAGATGTCCACCCCATGTCGTCCCGGGTCCCGTTCCATCATCGCTCCTTGGATCTCGGAATGTTTGTCTAAAGTGAAGGCCTTTTTGAGGTTAGGTACTTTCAACCCACGATGCTTTATTTATGGTTGTCTATCTCTTTAGGATGTGTAGCCCTAAACCTCCAGTCGTACCCTAGAGGGTCCAGTCATACCGAACCTGAGGAGGTACGACTGGAGCCCTAGGGTAGTTCCGGTGGTTCAACCCACTCCAAGTGGCCATGTTTCACCCCGAAAGTTCCCCCATCAAGTTGACCCTCGGTCCATGCGCCTCCATGCGGTCTGTGGTCGCTCGCGCGCGCACCCGTCGTCGCCGAGGCACACGGTAGCTGTTCCGGTCTCTGCGCCTCGGAGGAGCTGAAGAGCAGAGATGGGCCAAGTCGAGGGTGATCATCATTTCCCTATAGGGATCCGTGTTCGTAGCGAACCTGAACTGGACCCGACAATGGCACCTACATGTCGAACACATCACCGTACCTGAGGTTCGGTACGAAAACGGATCCTTAGGGATTGAAGTCATGGCCCACAGAGATGGCGCCAAGAGCGATGGCAGAGTTTTTGCTGGAGGTGGATCCGGCGGGATGCGTGCGATTTGAAACACCTTCTTGCATGCTGATTGGTGTGCTAAGGGTGGGTGCCCGAGAGAGGTTCAGTGAGCGTAAATAGGGCCCGTAGCCTGAGGTACCAGACTGGGATAGTCTATAGAGGCCCTCAACCTCTGTTGGTAGGCCCTGATTTGTTGAGGTTTGTGGTGTTTTTTCTCGCCCCAGAAGAGGGAGGTGAAGATGGTGTGAACATGGGGTGTGGAACAAGTCTCACCGTGATGCTGGATGGTCCTGGTATGCTTGCCTTCCCACAGTTGATGCACACCACTTGCTTTTCTTTCAAAGTCCACCATCCACAATGCCTGATTCTTGAGTCAAACATAGAGCTCCCTTTCTTCCAACAGAGCTTGAAGGATTCTCCCAGTCTGGTACCCCAGGTTTTTCCGGGTCCTTTCTCAGGTCACTGGCTACCTCTCTTGCTTCAGCTGAGGTGAGCCAGAATATCCTGCGGAACATGCGACACTTGGACCCGGTCCGACCGCGGGACGGCAGACCACCCGGGGCGACACGCGGAACGCGGGCCGCCCAAAGCGGCCGTCGCCGTGGAAGTCCAACTTGGATGAACAAGTGGGTTGGTTCTCAGTGTCAAGTGGGTGTTGGTTCTTCCCCAAACTGATGGTCTCTACACCGGAAGTTCCGAATGAATGAGCGCCGAATGAGTGGGTGCAACATGGTGCAACTGTCCCATCGAAGCCATCGTATTCTGATGTGAGCGCCAGGCAGTGCAGAACATCCAAAAGGATCAGAATCACACTGACACCTATGGTACGTGTGGTGTTTTTGGAGCCATCCAATGATCAACCAGACATGCCTATCCAGGCACTGGGGGAAAAGAGCCTCACAAAAATTAAGCGCCGCCCTGGCGGCAACTTGTATGTATTCTCAGGCGCCATATACTGTGCCTTTGCAACAAGCATGGAAGTGGATAGCCCCCTGTGTGTTGCAAGATGTTGCAAGGAGGGTATTTGATATTTGATATGATACTTGATGATCTTCCAGGGCAATGTGTTTTCTTTGTTTGCCTACAAAAGCAGGGGTGCGTGTCGCCAGTTGCTTGGCCCGGAGGGTGTCTTAAAGTGTTTTGTGTTTCAATAAGTCTGTCTGTGCCAAGAAGCGTCGGGCTGAAGGTAACTTTTGCCACTTGTCCCACTTCTTTGGCTTTTGCGTTCTTGCTGCCGCGCGGCAGCTGGATGCTAAGAGCACCTTGGACACAAGTGGCAGCTTCGATGGGATCCTCGCATGGTGGCAGAGTTGAGGCTGGAAGGGAGCTTTCAAGATACCAGTCCCAAGTGGAGGATCCCTCCGTGATCCCTTCCCATGTTAGAAAAAACGGCAAACCAACAATGGGGCGAAGCTTCCTGACATGTGATAGGAGAATGATTCAGAATGACCTCCCTTCCCAGAAACAACGGTCACGGTGTGAAGATCCAAGACCCCCCTATAGGGGACGAAGAAGTGACCTCCGGGATCTCAGTCGGATGGTCATGGCACTGAAGGTATTTGACCCGTTTGTCCTGTGAATCAGCCAGCTGTAGCGCACGCAAATCTGAAGATTATATAATATATAAGATTCAATATGCTTCAATCATATGCGGGGAAAACCCGTGGTTTTTTTTTATCGTGGTCTAAAATTCCCGTATTGTTGCCATTATTTTCTCAGTGCATTGTGGCCAAGACTTGCTTTGGCAAAAGACTTGCTTCACCTGTGGGCAAAAGCATTGGTAGCTCCTGGCATCGTTACTAGTAACAAGAAGCTATTAGCAGCGCCTCCGCTATAGGGAGGACTTTAGTGAAGCCTCAGAGGCGAAACGACGGGCCTTGAGATCTGTGGTCCGGATCATGAACCTGCTGAGCCAGTGGAGTGAGTGGTGGTTGTGCTGACCAAGGTCTAGATGAGGTGCATCAAGTCTTCCGCCAATTGGACCCTTGGGCAGCAGAAGCGGCGAGACCCTTTCTTGTGGTGGGCGAAACGAGTCCTTGGTTCACCCCGGCAGCCCTTCTTCAACTGGAAGGAGCCAAAACAAACAAGCCATGAGCGGAACTCGGATGGAGGTGGACAAACCCGGATTATGCGGGCCCCAGTTTGCTTGGGCGACCAGAAACGGAAGAATGCGTCGTGGTCCTTTGTCTTGAGTTCTGCAGGTCTCTAAGCAGGATTTTGGCTCATTGCTTGGGCAACACGAGCGAGCAGATCCTGAGCTGTACTCCTCCTTGCTTAACAGTTTAACGTGGCCATTCGGACAGACTGTGGCCATCAATAAGGCATGATGAATCTGAACACAGGTGTTCTCACGTTCACGGTGTTCTAGCCCACCAGAGTTGAGATATATACTTGTGCATCTATGTGCAGAGAAGCGTCAGATGTATCCCCCATCCGACGCATTCACGGGAAGTGGAACATGGACCCGGGGCAGTCTGTTAGTTAATTGATGTTAATTGTGTAATGGCTATATATATATATATACCAAAATCATCCAAAATCAATGTTCTTGCATGTGGTTGTATATTTTTTGACATTTACTTAGATACCATATGTGTGCATGGTGTTACTGAACCACTTCCGATGCCTTCCGTACCTTCGTTCGAGGATAGCGACGGTGATGGAGTGCTGACGATACAAGAGGTTCGGTTTTGCATGTAAACTGCGGCTTCACGGTGGATGTGGGGAGGAGGTGAAAAAGGAAACAAACAAAACATGGCCGTGGTGTTGAATGGATGGGCTCGGAGGTGGCGTGATGTGTTTTGGGTGTTTTGTGTTTCGAGCATGTAGAATTTTGATGGTGAATTCGGGTGTGCCATGTCAAAAAAAAAAAAACATATGTTGCATCAACTGGTACATCGGGTCTGAAGCAGAAATTGTTTTGATGGTCAGTTGCCATGGTGGACCACCTTTAAGGATGTAAGCCTTTTGTTCTACAAAGTAAAAGGCTATGTCTCTATGATTGGATGAGCTTATCTTCGATGATTGGATGGTGGGGGATAGTCGAATTCAAACAATATGCCACCTTTCCTCCTCCCAACTTCCCAACCCCCCCAGAGATGGGGACACATCTTCACATTCCATGCATGGGCTTTCCAGGTCATGTAGACTCTTAGATCAGATGTCAATCCCTCCGCATGAAGAGGATTTACAACCCCCATCCATATAATTTGACCATTGTAGTTCCATCACAGGTTGCCAAACAGGTGATCTAGCCGCTCCTAAGGATGTATACTTGGCCTGACGCATACAGAACCACCTTCAGAACCTCCCGGGGCCAGCCTCGTTCAGCTGGTCGAGGGACCGGGGCGGTACCGGAACGTCCGCCAGGTGCGTCAGGGCTTCGCTGCGCTGGGCTCTGGGAATTTGGAGACCGTCGAAATCGAGGCGCGAAGCCAGCGGAGTGCTGCCGGTGGGGGGGAGGGGGATTTTGAGGTTCTTTTGAGTGGGCGAGGCTTTGAGGCGAGGTGACCCAAAATGGAGATGATCTGGCTCGACTTGGGTTTGCAGCTTGGGAGAGCCTGAGCCCGGATGTTTCTCCGAAGGATGTCGCCTTTGTTGAGCCATCATCAACCCACTGATTCTCAGTGGAAACGGATCCCTGCCAAACCTTCCTCGTGAATGGGCACCAACCCACACCACAACCTCCCAAGATCACAAGGTGTAGGTTGGCAAAAACAGATGAATGGATTTCCTATTTGTTGGATTTTCTCTTTGTTTTCTTTGCTTTAGTTTGCCACTTTATATACAACTTGACATTGTTTATTGCAGGGAATCTTAGACCAACAACCCCCCAAACCCACAACATCATGTGGCCATGACTGGGTCTGGAGACGTCTGACCTGAACCCTCCGACCCGACCAGACCCCTTCCGGACGGGGTCCCGAAACCCCGGGCTCCGCTCCTCCAGGAGCTCTTCGCCATTATCGACATGGATGGCTCAGGCCCGTCGACCGCGCTCGAGGCGTTGGGCGGGACCCCGTGATCCGGCCGTGGACCGTCCAAGACCCTATTCTGCGTTCTGCACGATCTGCCATGACCTATAGGAGCCCCAAAACGGGTAAATGGATGCGTTTCTTTTTTTTCTCATGTTGGCTTTCATTATGCCAGTAGTATCAGCAGTATCTATATAGTAGTTGTGGAATTGTTAACTCTAGTAATAGTTTCCTCATCCTCATCATCATCATCACCACCACCGCCACCACCA